TGCTGGGCTCTCAGTCTTTTTGGAGGATTGAAAGAGATTGGTACGACTGTCATGGAATCAGAGCTCTACCAAAAGTCATGTCTTGGGACTACCAGCTTCCTCCTGGCTGCAATGCAACAGACCAGATTTTTCAAATTCTTATCATCTTCAAAAACCCAGTCAAATGCCTGGTCAACTGCAAATGTCTCCAGATTCATGTGGCAGAGGAAAAACCTTGTTCTCTGATCTTCATTGGCCTCTGTTCCTACTTGATTCCTAGTACTAAGGGCCTACCCTGAGCCAGAGCTTTTCCTCCACTGGACTTAATTATTACTGGTATTTATAAAATACCCATAATATATATCTTGTTTACACTCTAAGGGCTTCATTGGGGAAAATACTGGGATTAATTCCTTCTGTTATCTCCAGCATCTGTCCCAGGGCCTGGCATGTAGCAGGAGTTGAATCAATCAGTCAATCAATCAATCAATCACTCCCTGCCTTCAAAGGCAAGAACGGTTTGGAAAAGAAACTCAACAGTGTGAGGACAGCATTCACAGCAAATAAAACAAAAAAAAATTGCCAATTAAAAGTAATGAAGAATAGAACTCTGTGCTGGTGGCAGTATTGGAAAACAGGAACTTTCATACATTGCCAGTAAAGGCACAAATGGTATAACCCTTTCCAAAGCATATGTGGCAATATCTACTAATATTGCTTGCAGATTCAGAAGCATCAGTCCTGCAAGGAGAGGAGCAAGGCAGTAAGGCACTCTGGGGAAATCTCTGGCTTGGAAAAGAAGATCCAGGTTCCTATTAAGCTACACAGACCAACTATGGGATTGTGGGCAAGTCCCTTCATGTCTCCGAACTTTAGCTTCTTTGTCTACACAATGTAGAATCAAAGTAAGTGATCTCTGGGACCCTGTTCATCTGGGATTCCTATGTCAAACACAGGAAAAAGTAGGCATATAAATGGAGTCAGAGCTCTTCAGAATTGTAGATGTTAATTTAGGGCTGACTCAAGTGAATATATAGGCCCCCAAGTTTCTACTGTTTCTTAGAATCATCATCCCAGAAAAATCTACTCCTCAGATACTCTTCTGGAGAAAAAGAAATTGGGGCTTTGGACCTCTTTATCTTGGCTGACCACATTGCCTCATGGTTCAAAAGATAAATAAACCTTGTCTCATCCACTGAAGAAGCACCAAAGACCACCTGGTTTTACTAGATGACCAGAGGTGAGGTGAGGCCCAGCCCCTCCACCCTGAGAACAGCACCTTTTATTCTTTCATTTCTTTTCTGCCTTTGGATTGTTAGAAAGAGTACAACACCTTAACATTATATTGGGAAACCCTTCTAAAAAGTACCTAAATAATAGAGAATCACATCTAATTTAACTGAAATCAACCAAATCACAAGTTCCTTAAAAGTCTTTCCTAAAGTAAAATCAATAAATGCATAACTAAAGATGTCTTTAGCATATTCATGAGGCTTTTCATGGCAGATGCACCAGAATGGTCACTGGTCAGGTGTTACAACAGGTTACAAATCATTATGACCACGGAAGATGTAACAAGCACTAAAACTATGCAATCTTCCATCCTACCAATATTAGGTTCTCACAACAATCTATATTAAGGCAGCCCCATTTGGTAATAAGATCGGGTTTAGCACCCTTTCCCTGATCACAGTCACCTTAGCTTACTAGCTGTGTAAGCATCCCTCTGAACAAGTGCTCACCCAGAAAGCTCACCCTGGAGTCTAATGGCCAGCAGACCCCTTTCCTGAGTCCTCCTCAATCTAAATGTCCATGACTCTATACAGCAGAAAATAGTGCCATGGGATGTTATTAGATAGTGTGTTACATAAGCAGGTGCGCGCGCGCACACACACACACACACACACACACACACACACTGGTTCCCTGTTTAGAAAGATTGGTAAGTGTGTATCTTCAATGCAGAACTTGAGAGCTTTTAATAAATATGTGGATCTTCCAGAGGAGCCAATAGTGTGCTAAATTCCCTAAACTTCTTTATTTTTTGCAAAGTATCACATCCCAGGGCTATTGCTCAACAATCTACCCTTTTAGAATCTTCACAAAGCCCTTGACCTATGAGCTCTGTACTAGAAACCATATTGCACAATATGACTACCCTCTTTCACTTAGCTTCCATTACAATAAGATCATACGTAAGATTATAAAAGCCTTTGATACTTGATGCTAAGCACCAAATGCTTTTAAACCCATTCAAATATTTGTTGGAAATGAATGAAAGAAGTATTTACAGTGTAGTGGCTACATGGCAGCAGGGCTTGGAAACTCCTGCATGGAATTAGTAGCACTGAAACCCTTCCGATTTTCAATAATAACAACCTTGCCACTCCCAGACCAGCTCCAGACTAGTGTTGCCCAGAGTAAGTTAGGGGCCATTCAATAAACATGCATGGCTTTGAAGATTTCAGATCACGAAGGAGGTCCCAGCTGTCTCGTCTCCTATGCCTTATCCCTTCACCTTATATTAGGGCTTCTTACCAGTTTGGGGTTCAACTTATTGCAGTTGCTTGGCTCTGCACACAACCTGCCCTCTCACTTTCATCCCTGCTCTACTTCTCTCCAATGATTAAGGCTAGAATAACACAGAGCTGCTGAAGAATAAAATCCATCCCTCAATTTACCAACTCCAAACAATTTCCCTGATTCATCTCAGGCTGGGTAAGATCATGGCTTCTGGAACTGAATTTACAATTTAAGACACAAGAGTCCCTTTATGCACCAGGCAGAGAGCTAAACAAAGTTCTGCAACTTCTGGGACCCTAGTGAATCTCCTGTATCCCAGTAACTTAATGTGAGCACATGAGTTGAAATAACTTTTGGTGACTGAGTCTTCCCACTTGTACTGAGAGACTACTGTTTTAATTTTTTTTATAGGAATGTATTTATTAATTACCTGTGAAGTTAAAACTGAACAAAATAAGAGGAGAAACATTAAAGTATATTATGCTATAAAATGATGGTCTAACTCTTAATGAATATTAAATCACAGGAAAGTACTTATTATCAAGCTGAGGTAAATAACAGCATTCAAAGACTACAATAGGATGTCGCTAAATACAAGCCACCTCTAAAGAAAAGGCACAGAATTTCTTTTTTTTTTTTTTTCCCAAGCCAGTCCTTATAGACTGAGGTAAGGGAATGAAAAAGAATACTGATGGGGAAACACAGTTTTCCCACAGCTCTGAGGTTTTTACACAAAGAGTGTCTCTTTATATTGGGTTATAATCCAACCTGTTTTACTTTCTAGCCCTTTGTTTCCCACATGTAATGTGGGGGAGATTGGACAAAAAAGGTCCAGAGCTTTTTTATTTCTAATGTGCAGGTCTTGGTTCTGGACAGAAGTTACAATGTGAACAGATTTAAGGGCCGTGTTCACGCATGGCAATGTGTTCCATTATATGGAGTATAAAGTAGTGAGGCAGGCCCGGAGGATGAGAGTGGAAAGAACATCTATGTAATTTATTAAAATAAAGGAAACCTCAAGCCTCATCTTGTGATTTAAGAGGAAGTCAATCGTGACCAGTTTGTGTTTAACTTATTATCTTGACCATAGCTTGGCTATATTTTAAATATAAAACTATTGTTGACAGATGAAGAAACAGAGTAGCTATTTTCAAAGGAACTGTTAATCTCCAAAAAATGATGTGCTGTTGTTTTGTTTTCAATAAAATCATGCTGCAACACAAATTATAGCACCTTAACAAAAAACCAGAGCTGAAACAACAGAAGGAAGTATGAACTCACAGATCTGGAGAAGTGAACAGAGGTTTGTTCACCATCAATGGTTCTCTGGTACTATAACATTTAATAGAATTACTTATTATACCATGTTCTCATGTCTTTACACTAACTGAAATCTGGCAGCTCTAATTGATAAGGAAAATAAATTTAAAATAAAAGGTATGTTACCTGCTCTTACATAATGTGAATTTAAATGAAAACAGCTTGAACTAGGATTATTTCTTCCAGAACAAGTAACCCCTCCCCTTCCAATACCCCATCCTAAAATAGAAGAACACCTATGGGTCACAACCACACATGTATTATTTTCTAAAAAAAAAAAGAAGGTAACTTGGGCTCTGTCAAGGCTAAAAAATAGAAGTAGATTTTCCTCCTGGCCAACAGCTCAAACCATCCATTAGGGTAAAATTGAAGATGTGAAGGTGCTTTTGGAATTAGTGTACAGGCAGACACACCCTGTTTACTCGAAAACCTAAGCCATAACAAGAGCTTCTACACTGATAGTCCCTGTACCAGAAGCCCTGGAAAATCTCCAGTGACAATTTATCTTCCATTGTCTTTTGTCCTTAAATGTAAATGGTAGATAATTGAGCTCAAATGGGAAAAAAAAAAAAATCAGGAAATGAGCAGGCTGAATTTTTTTGGATTCTAAAGCTAAGGATAATATTGAAAACATAGCAAACAGGGGCGCCTGGGTGGCTCAGTCGGTTGAGCGTCTGACTTCAGCTCAGGTCATGATCTCACGGTTCATGAGTTTGAGCCCCACTTCAGGCTATGTGCTGACAGCTCAGAGTCTGGAGCCTGCTTCAGATTCTATGTCTCTCTCTCTCTGCCCCTCCCCCGCTTGCTTGCGCACACATGCTCTCTCTCTCAAAAATAAATAAACATTTAAAAAAAAATTTTTTTTAAAGAATGCAAATGAGTTTTAAATGTCTTTAACATCTAGAGGTAAATGCGGCATCAACTTATTCTTTGGTATTTAGCGAAGAAAGCCAAGCTAGCAATGTAGCAGGAGTATAATCAGAAAAAGAATACATTCTTCTGCCATGCCACAGACAGGGCATAGACACAAATATGGCCTGGAAACAAAATTAATATGCCCACAGGTACACAACATGAATAGGGCACATGGAGTCAGAGAGAAGGTAGTTGCCTTCACTAATGTCCTATGCACTCCCAGGAAACACAAATAAAGATAAATGCACGTAGCTCTCCCTTACCTCCAACATAGGCCTGGCACTATCGTGGACAGACAGAATATGTGTCACCTTGTTCTTGCTCAATTGCTCTGCATCTCTGGCATCTGTCATAGAAGAAAGAACATGGAGCATTTTATTCTTCTCTGCAAATGAATTAATCCTAAAGTTTAGCCAGGAAAAAATACAATATGACCTGCATATTTCTTTCTTGAAACTTCATAATTGGCCATACCCAATCTAGAATAATCTATATCTAAGAAAATTTAGGAATTGCTTTAATGTATTTTGCAGATAACTAAACTTATTTGTGATTGGCAGATTTTTTTGATACAAAGTGGTCACCTAAAACTTGAAATATATTTAGATTTATGTAGATTTATATTTATATTTAGAATCATGTAATCATGATTGTTGCTGTTTAAGGGAAGTGAAACTATGAGGTCATTTCATAGTTGCCATTTGTTAAATTGTAGACCCTCAGGTTGGTCTTATATGAAATATTAACTATAAAGTTGTTTAATATGTATTAATATTAAAAAATTACCTCTTAATAATTAATAATCTAAGTTACAATCAAATACAAAAGAGCCACTCACTATGTAACATATAGGAATCTGCTAGGGATGACTTTACCCTGATGTTAAAGGCAGGGATGGGTTTAAATGCAGATAAGACTGTGTTTTACACCTACAATTCACTTCAGGGTCAAAGTAAAAATGGAACATTTTCTGGAAATCTCAAACAGAATTGTCCATAAGTTACCAGTTGGTTATTAAATTATTTGCGTATGAAACTAGGGAAACACCAAATTACATTCTCTTCTAATGCTCCTATCTAATGCTGTAGAAGAAAGACTGAATGAATATCCTCAAGTTGGAACCCTTCTGCTAACCTACAAAACGGGTCCACCAAGAAACAGCTCCCCCTATGCCCATGTCCTGACCTGGGACAAGCTTTTTTAAATGACACAGGGTAAAATGATAGAAAGTTAAAAAAGACTGAAAGCCAAATGTTTTTCATGTTTCTGGAAAATATTAATGATATGGGAAAATGCTTTGGATATAATGTTAAGCAGAGTGTAAATGCAGGTACCAAACAATAAGTAGAATATGAGCTCAATTTATAAAAGCATGATAAAGACAAACACATATATGGAAAAATTGCTACAAGGAATTAGCTCTAATACTGATAATCTTGAAAATATGGAATTACTGTGTTTTAATATTTTTTTATATTTTTTTGTTTTTTGGGGTTTTTTTGGTATACTCAACATAACTGGTTCTGAAAACTTAACATGTCTATGAACTATCTGGGGGGCTTGTTCGGGGCTCCAATTTAGTTCAAGGTCTATGGCAAGGCTGAAGAATCTGCAGTTTTCATAAGCCTTGATGATTATGTAGAGACTGAAACACTTTCATAAACATTTTGTACTTTCATAAACATGCACCACTTTATAAAGTCAGAAAAGAAATCTTTAAAAGTAATACTAAAATGCTGGTTTTAAGGTTTTCTTCATCAATCAACCATCTCCAGTTTCAAATTCAGATTTACACAGCAGCCATCTACACCAAACATAGGGGGATTCAATTCCAAACACCATCCCCCACTTTGCCCCCAACTATCGCAAGTTTTGGCATCAGTGAGTTTGGATTAAATAGGAACTAGAATCATTTAGGATCTCACTGGCAGTCAGCTTCCACATTCTCACCAACATGCAATTTTTCCAATCACCACCAGTATGTATGTTTTAGCCAGTGGTAAAGCAAGATCAAGCTAGAGCTTTGGGTGCTCACAGAAGAGCCCAGACAAGGTGGGACAATACAGGGTGGGACAATACAGAGCAGCTGGTGGAGTGCTTCAAAGCAGCCTCCTGACACTCTAGGGCAGGATCTTCTGGATTCTGATTCTGTCCAGAATTTGAATTTTAAATATTTGTTTAAATATACTTTTTCCTTTTTTAAAAAAATAGCTTTCCTTGAGATAATTTACATGCTACAAATTCACCCTTTTAAAGTATATGATTCAATGGTTTTTAGTATATTCAGAGTTTTTGAACCATCACTGCAATCTAACTTTTTTTAGACATTTTTTTAAAGTTTATTTCTTTGTTTTGAGAGAAAGTGAATAAGAGCAGGGGAGGGGCAAAGAGGGAGAGAGAGAATCCCAAGCAGGCTCCTCACTGACGACACAGAGCCTGATGCAGGGCTCAAACTCATAAGCTGTGAGGTCATGACCCGAGCCAAATCAAGAGTCGGACACTTAACCAACTAAGCCACCCAGGTGCCTCTGCAATCTAACTTTAAAACATTTTCATTACCTCATAAATATACTTTTATAACACAAATTAAAATAAACAAAAAATGTAGTTTGGTAATAAAAGTATGCTGTTTTGAATACAGAGAACCACTTGATACCACATATGAGACAACAGATTGTTGGGCTCTAAAGAAAGGAGAAGCAACTCTTAGACAATAATGTTCCTTTTGTTTTGTGCTTTCTGTTTTATTATAGTGCCGTCTGTACTGATAACACCACTCTGGGATTACCTTATTCCATAAGCACATGCTCTAACTATTTGAGAGTACATAAAGTGCCTAACCAATACTTTTGGATGATGACATCGGAACTCTTACTCTTTAGGACTACAAATTATTGATGGTTCTGGATGACTACTTACAACCATAGGCACTGTGGTAACAAGCTGTGAATGCAGCTGTAAGACATGACCATGGGGTTATCAGCCCACTCACATGCATATGAAGTTTCACACCAGCTCTCCTTGGGCACAAAATCAAAAGAGTGGAACTTAGTCCTTTGCTGCTCAAACCACAGTCTGTCAAGCAGCAGCATGGCATCACCTGGGAACCTGCTGGAAATGCAGACTCCCAGGCCCACTACCTAACTACATGATCAGAACATGCATCTGAATAAGAACCCCAGAAGACTGTGTGCCCTGTACATATGGAGCTTTGCAGGGCCTCCAGGGAGTGAGCTATGACTTGGTGCCAATGATGTCCCTTCCCCACTGTAGCATGCCATTTTAATGCCATTTCTAAGCCAGAAAACAACTCACAGACACTTGCAATCACAAATGTAACATTATTAATGCAATAGCATTAATAATGCCAACTGGATGATTACAAGTTAGAATTCCCATGGAAAAAAATCTAGAAGAATATACACTGACCATGGTTACCCTGGGATGTAGAGTTTGGGGAAGTTTTCACTCTATTTAACATATTTCTATCATATTTGGATTTTTAAAGTTTTTATTTTATTTTGACTGATGAGCCTACATTACTTTTATAATCAGGAAAAGAAAACTTAAAAAAAACACTAGTCACAAAATTCAACATAAATTACATTAATAAGTAAAACAGTCAATCCTTCATTGGTAAAACAGCTAACTGTGTTCTTTTCCTCTCTCTCTCTCAACATCTCCCCTGACCCCTGGACTCTTGCCCACTCTTGCTACCTGCTTCTGTTTACCCCCCTGAGGCTTCATGTGGACTTCAGAAGAAGCAAATGTCATTTTTACATAGTGGGAGCACTGAAATAGAAACACCTACCTGATCTTTCTCCTTTGCTGTTACACATTCCCTCAGCAGAAGATCCCATCTATCACTGGTAAGACCTTGCTAAGGGAACATGTGGATTCCTGAAAGATGCTGTCTTCAAAAGGTAAAGTGGCAGCCACATGCTTCCTTAAGGAAGGGGAATTAGTGCTCTAGATCTTATACTGATACAGAAGATGAACAGGGGTAACCAGTCCTAAGATGTGAAAAATGCCAGAGTGGCCATGGGAAATAAGCTAGTCCATCAAAGTCAAGCAGAATTGTCTCTAATTGTCTTTGATTTTATTTAAAAATTAACAAAAATATATTGGAAGAAGCACTAGAAAATAACACCATTATCACAAGCACTCTAGAGAAACAGACATTTGGCAGGAAAGAACTTCTTTGATAATGCCTTTCCAATACTCAGAGTACCTGCTACACTGATTTGTGGACTCAAAAGCATGGCCATGCAGGATGAGTGAGCGAAGGGGAGAGCGAAGGTCTCTGTTTTAAAAGGGCCCAATTCCCTCTGCTCTGACCCTGATCCCCAAGCCATGTTCTGAGTCGTTTCCCAAACAACTTTTGCCTTCCAAGTTGAGAATCTGCTCAGTGGTGGGTAAGTGATTCTGATCTGTTTTGTAGTTCTACTTCCCACTGTGAAATTTAATGAATTCTAGAGTTACAAATTATTGTATGTCACAATAACTTCTAGAGTTATAAATTAGCTGTTAGTGAGTTCAACTTTTAAGTGGATACATTTCCAACCTGGGCTGAGGGCCAAAATGGGGCAGTTCCTACCTATTCCCTTCTTTACTAAATGTGGGCTCTAACATTTATTGGTGTTGACCTTGGGCAAGTTTTTCTATGCCTCACTTTTGTCACCTTTAAAGTGGGAAAATGGTTAGAGTACCACCTCAAAGGGCTGCTGGAAATACTAAATGATATGCTTAGAATAGTGTTTGGCTGACATGTAGTAAATGTCATCATTGCCATCATTATTATTATCATTAGGACCAGATTAAGTTTCAAGGCTGCAGTATGGGCTTCAATCTCCATTACCACTGAATGTTTCCAAGTACATGCTTATTTCGAAGACATCTGAATTCCACTGGGAACCATGGCCACTCTCACTGGCAGACGCAGAACAAAGGCTCTGAGACCTCAAGCATGTCTCTATGTACATAACCAGCACACACATAAGGTGTGAGCTTATTTCCCACATTTCTAGAAGTTTGTGGACACCTTCAAACAAGGACATGTCCTCTGTCAGTTCACATCCACTTTGGGATCTGCCAAATTGTAAAGCAGCAGATAACCCTAGCCTCTTGTCCTGGAGCTCCTCGTCAAGCTTCCACTCCTGCCTTCCCTCTTAGCTTCTAGGCAGAGCCAGCTTTCAGCAAAGACACCTCAACTGAGAGAACCTCATCAAAGACCAGACTCCAGAAGCTGGGTTGGTTTGTGGGTTTTTCTCTAGGTAGAAAAATCACCAGGTGTTGGAAAACCATTTGTGATTCCTTGCAAAGTTAAAAAAGAAAAAGGAGGACGTTTCTGGGTGACATGTAAAGGATCACACTGGAAGGAAGGAAGGAAGGAAGGAAGGAAGGAAGGAAGGAAGGAAGGA